ATTTATAAACTATCAAGGGCTCATGAGGGAGGAGGCAGCGGGGAGGGAGGGGAAAAATGAGGACCTAATGTCGGGGGTTTAAGTGGAGAGAAAAAGGTTTGAGAATGATGTGCAAATGCCTTTTACACAATTGATGTGTGTATGGATTGCGATAACAGCTGTATGAGCCCCTAATAAAATGTCAACACAACAAAAAAGAAATGGTTGGATTTCAACCAAAAAAAAAAAAGGGGGAAAGTTTTATATTTCATTGGTGCTATACTGTACCCTGACTGGCTCATCTCCGCCCCGCAGTCCTTCTGTAAGGGGATGTCCAGTTGCCTGCAGATGGGCTTTGGGTCTCCACTCGGCACTCCCCCTCATTCACAATGATATGATTTTTTGTTCTGGGTCTTTGATGCATGATACCTGATCCTACCAACAACTTGTGATTACACAGGCTGGTGTGCTTCTTCCATGTGGGCTTTGTTGCTTCTCAGCTAACTAGCCACTTGTTTATCTTCAAACCTCTAAGACCCCAGATGCTATATCTTCAGATAGCCTGTACCATCAGCTTTCTTCACTATATTTGCTTATGCACCCATTTTGTCTTCAGCAATTGTGTTGGGAAGGTGAGCATCATGGAATGCCAGGTTAATAGAACAAAGTGTTCTTGCATTGAGGGAGTATTTGAGTGGAGGCCCAATGTCCATCTGCTACTGTAATACTGAACCTATAAATGTATGTACATAGATCTATTTCCCTATCATCATATATGAATATATTTACATAAGCACATGCCTATATTTAGACCTATATCTGCCCTTTGCCTCCTAGTTCTTTCCTCTATTTCCTTTTACTTTCCTCTTGTCCCACTATCATGTTCAGCCTTCATTTGGGTTTCAGTAATTTCTCTCGGTTATATTGCCCTTGATCAAGCCCTACCAGGCCTTCTACATCCTCCTCACCATTGATTTTTGGATCACTTATTGCTCCCTTGTCCCTGGGTTTGTTAACACCCACTTCCTTTACCACGCCTCCCCCTTTATCATGTTGCCCCTCCCCCAACCATCTCTCCTGTTGTTTTCTCCTCCAGATTGTTTGTCCCACCTTTCTTATCTAGATGGACATGCAGAGATAATTATATGCACAAACACAAGACAGAGCAAAACAAAGTAACAAAAGAAAACAACAACAAACCAATGATAAAACAAAAAAAGAAAAGCCTATAAATAGTTCAAGGTCTGTTTGTTGACCTTTAGGAGTGTTTTCTAGTCCAGTCTGATGGGGTGAGATGCTATTTTCAGTGGACTTGAACTTCCAACCTTTAGATTAGCAGAATGAGTATGTTTATAGTTTATACCATCTAGAAATTTCTATTAAGCATACATAAATACATTTCCAGATATTATGGTACTGATATCTTACGTGTTAGAACCCACAAATAGACAAAGTATAAAGTATGCATTTTCAAATTAAATAATGCATACTATGTTTCACTTCAAATTGCCTACTAGCTTCATGCTCATTTGTATTTAGAGTACTGATGAGAGGCAGAATCTTTCCAAATGATAATCTAAATAGAGCCATTATGATCCCCTTCTGAATGTGTCACATTTCTGAATGCAATTTAATTTGAAGGTCTAGCAATATCTATATTGACTAGGATCCACTTTCTGAATTTCTAGGAATCAACTTCTGAATTTTTACAACACAAGAAAGATCTTGAAGTTTTGCAAAATCTCCTGAAAGAGATTTCCAGTCATGGCTTACCAGGGGATAAAGCTCTGGTTTTTGAAAAAACAAATAATCTGTCAAAGCAATTCAAGGAAATGGAAGATACCATCAAAGATAAGTAAGGATCACTTGGAAAAACTGGATTTTATTCCTCTCAATGCTCATTAGATTGATTGCTTTTATAGACCTTCATAAAGAGATGAAGCAAATTTGAAAACCTAATAAGCACAGGGCTTGTTAATGCTTTTATATTTTGGTAACTTGTTATATGAAAACTAAGTGCATTGTTTGTTGAAGTAAGTAGGTGGAAATCAGTGCTTTTTACGTTTAAGTGGAAAGTATTGTGTAAGGAAAATGGTAGTGGTTGCGTATTAATTCACAGTGACCCATACTTAACGTGGTCTCCAAAATCGATGGCAAATATCACACAGAAATAATCATGAAAGAAGTCATTGTGGTTCACTGCTTTCTGGGCTCAATTCAGAAGCTTTGTGAAATTTCAATATACTCCTTCATGGCCTCTTTTATAGGAGAGTTTACTTTTTAAAGAGTTGTAGATAAGAAATGACTCCATGCAAAAACACGGTAAGAAATCAGAACAAACTGATGTTGAGCTAAGAAGCTGTGCAAGAGGGAACCTTTGCATATCTGACCATCTGACCTCGTGTTAGTTTGGGATACACATCTGGCTTTGCTAAGTATATACAAACGAGCTCAGAAAGAGAGAAAATGCTTTTCTATTCCAGCCATTCTTTGTTATTTTATAACTTTCTAAACCTTTTGGGTATGGTCTAGGCCATAGAATGTTCAATTCATTTCACACAGGAGAAATGTCCTTGGATTTCTCAGATGAACTCTTCTTTTTCTTTCAAATGGGCCCAAGTTCAAAACTTCCTAGTCCACCAGTCATTAATCCAGCTGCAACAGGTCCTTATGTGCTAGGTTTCTACACACTCTCACGGGTGTACACGTCATTCATGTATAACTGTCGCCACAGCCGTTCATGTGTTAGACATGTGTGGCCCGCCATGGTGTTGAGCACACAGACAGATTCAGAGATGTTCCCTGTGGAGTGACCTGAAATACACTCATTACAACTCTTCAGTCAGTTGCACCCCAGTTTTACATATGTTCTCCTATAAGCACCCACTTTATCCATTAAGGTGGCTATCGTCTTAGTCTATGGACCACTAGGTGGCATTGCATCTCCCTCATTTCAATGATTTATAAAACCTTTCCCAGGGTCCTGTGCCTTTTGGCATTCAGAGTTATATAAAAGTGGACAGATCAAAGCTCGTTGAATCTAAATAACATTAAAATGTTTATATAGTCTTAGAGTTTATATAATGTTCTGGAGTGCCATTACATGTGGGTTACAGATTTCTTAACTGTTCCTATCTTTATTGATGGCCCTTGCCTGAGCAATAGACAAATGGTTATTTACCTTGATTTCACCTGAAATCTTGCCTCCTGCATGGACAAGGGTAAGGTGTGAATGTGGGGATTTTTTTCCCCTTAATACTAATTGTAAATGTATGAATACCGATTTATTTGCTAGTCAGCCATTTGGTGCATCTCCTTTTCAAGGTTAATATTTTATGGGGTTTATTATCTAGAAAAGAAGCCGTGTCTTCTTGTCAAGAACAGATGGAAGCTTTCCAAGTCCTTGTGAAATCGTTAAAGTCATGGATTAAAGAAACAACAGAGAGTGTTCCCATTGCGCAGCCTTCTTTCGGCGCAGAAGATTTAAGAAAATCACTGGAAGAAACTAAGGTGAATTATTGTGTATAATACAAACTTCTCCCTTGCTGGCATCAAAAGATTAGATTTTTTTAATCTGCATCGTAGACCTACTCTAAATTTTGGTGATATTTGGAAACGATGACATGGGATTAACTGTTCCTTTTGAGCAAGAATGCAAACTTATCATCCATTCATGCTTTTTTTTCAGAGGGCAGTACCCGGTCAGAGTTGACTGGGTGGCAGTGAGCACTTTGGTGGCATAGATAGTGCTGTGTCACCTCTGAGAAAGATGACTTTCTACTCCCGTGAGGAAGACCTCAGAACCCCAGGACAGCTCTGCCCCGCCCTGTAGCATCACTATGAGTCGGAATGGACTCTGGCAGTGAGCTTGAGGGGTTTGTTGAGAATTAGTGAGTCGCCCACCTATCCTCTATTGGTGTTTCTTTCCCCACTCCATCTCGACATTGTTTTTCTTTGCCATTTTTTCCATGATGTTAAGTTCCTCGCCCTTCTTTCAGCATCTTACTCTAACCCAGAGACACCACTACAATCAGTACTTGAACAGTCATTGATTCTGCAGCATAAATATAGCACATACCTTTTGTCCTTAGACTCAAGTCAGAAGATGTCTGGCTAGTTAGAACAATTTACTTTTTACTCTAGATGTGTAGAGGTGTATGTTGAGGGAGTAAAAAGATGGAAAAATTTGATGAGGAAAGCTCACTGTGAAATGGAATTCTAAATTCTCATTAAAAAAAGGTTTTTTAATGTCTTGAAATCATTCTCTCCAGTCGCATTGCTGTTACTTGTACAGCTCTCCAGACTTACAGTTGACAGTTACTTTGGAACCCAGGACAGCTAGGAAGAGCCTGACTTCTGCTCTGCCTGGGAGCAGAGTGCAGGCTGGGACAAGGCCTACTCCTCACTGCTAACAGAGCTAACAGTCACCCAAGCTGTTGGAGCCACTAGGGATGGTGCCTTTTCCCCCCATCCACCCTTCACCAGTCAGAGCCCGCACGCATCATCGCTATTTTATGTGCTGAAGAAATTGAGTTACAATGCACAACTTTGAAAATATGCTCAAGATTGAAAAATAATGTGTTTTTATATTTCAAGAAATTACAAGAAAAGTGGAACTTAAAGACACCAGAGATTCAGAAAGTAAGCAACAGTGGGATCGCACTATGTAACCTAATAAGTGCCGTGACTGCTCCTGCGAAAGCGATGACAGCAGTTAAATCAGGTACGTGCTGCCCTTTTAGGGCAGAAACCAGGGGTTTGGGTATGCTGCTTCCAAAAAGGTCATCCATGAAATAGTGTCAGGAATATGCGACGGGAATGTGATAAGAAAGATGGCATGAAAAAGTACCTGTGCTGATCAGATTTCTAATACTATATTTCAGGCTTAATTTAATTTAAGACTTCTTTTAAAATGTAGCATTCTTCTGGAGAGGGAGCAGGTTAGATTTCAATTTACTTGTTTATTTTTTAAAATTATAAAAAATGTTTATTGTACTTACAGGGAGATACTCAATTCAATTCAAATTCTAGTTGAAACATTTCTATTCACCTTACAATATCTGATTAAGAAATGAATCTGGTCTCTTGGAGAAAGGAGTGAGAGGAAAAAGCAAGCTCTGTTATAGAGAGTGGACCTCTCAGTTTAGTTCGCTTGGTTCTGTCTGGGAGTACCAAAGAAAACCAGCATGCAATGTATTAGCCAGCAGAGTTCAAGCTGAATCTTAGTGGAGCTACTCTTTATAACAAAAGGAAAGAGTTGTGAACGTAGATTGCTTCTAAAATTAATTTAAATAACTTACAGATATTGGTTTAAGTGTAAACTATATTTGTAGTGTTGTAAATATTGGAGGGTTTTTGTTTTTGTTGTTTCAATCCAGCAATAAAGAGAAGGCAGCTCTCACACTCTTCTTCCCAGACCCTCCGTGGTTTATCTGGTCTACCCAGCCCCCAGCGCCTCCATTGTGATCCCTATGTGCCCGCTGGGCCTTGCTCAACCAGCCTTTTATTCCCCTGATTAATCTCATTTCAGGGAATATTCATGTGGTGTGTGGTGTGATTATCTCTCCTAATCAGATTTTCTGAAATAGCCCCCCCCCCCACACACACACATTGCATGTTATTTAATTCTCTATGCCTACTTTATATTTACAAATAAGTAAGAATTAGTTTTCTTTTTGTTTTCCTGGTCACCACCAATCATGGTAGGAATGAATATTTAGTGTCTGTAGGATATTTTCACTTAAACATCTGAAATGTAATTATGTGTGATATTTTTTCCTTTTTAAAGAAGGAAAACCTTGGATAAAATTTACATTTTCGAGTGTTTTTGTGTCGATTGTTTTTCTTAAGTGGCAGATTTGGGGGATATGTGTTCTGTGCTTTGCATCGATAACCAGTGGATACGAATTTAGGAAATGCTAACTGATTTTGTAATATTCAGATAATGAATACCAAAGAGTGCTAATGCTGGATATTTACATAATAAAAGAGAAATATTTAAGTAGTTTCTATTTCAATGTCATGGATTAATTTTAATTCCTATGTGGTCTTATGTGTTAGTTATTTTAATTCCTATGTGATCTTATGTGTTAGTTTTAATTCCTTTTAATTGCTATGTGGTCTTATGTGTTAGTTATTATTTTCCTCATCAGTTTGGGAATTAATTAGTACAGTCACTGAGCTAGAAATTAGTGAGACTGGAAATTAAATTCAGGTGAGCTATGCATCGCATGGAAGGACACCTAACCACAGTGCTCTCCTGTCTCTATACTAGCATAATTCTGAGCTGGCAATATCATTAATTTCCTTCCCTTTTAGTTGTTTTCATGTTTATTAAGTGCTCAATGACACTGTGTCACGAGGCACCAGACAGCATTCTGTTTAAGTAAGGCAGTCCTTGTTTGGACAGTTACTCAGACTTTGTTGCGTACACTTACACTGACCTTCTGAACTTAAGGGACATCATCGCTAAAGTAACTTTAGCGACAAAACCACATTATCACAAAATTCCTTTATAAATTAGTGTCTAGTGATTAATTTATGTTACATAAACTTGCTGAAACTCTTCAGACTTCGGTGCTCCTATTTTAAGAATACACTTCATATAGAAGAGAGAACATGTTAGAGTCTTTAAGTTTGGGATCTTCGTTTGACTTTGAAATTGAGTCAATACATTTTCAAATAGCAACACTTGTTTTTTCACCATATATGGGAATCACAGTAATTTAAGCTTCCCTACTGAAATGCATAAAAATGTTACAGAGCTTGGTGATTACGTCCGTGCTAATATTTTTGCAGGTAGTGCAATATTAAATGGTGAAGGAACAGCTGCAGATACGCAGGAATTTCTGGCAAATAAAGGTGAGTAATAATTTTAAAGGTTATAGATTAAAGTAGCTCGTTTTGTTTTTTTTCAATGGCCTACAATATCAAAACTAAGCCAATCACATTGTTATCGAGTCAATTCTGACTCATAGCGACCCTATGTAGGGATTTCAAGGTGGGGCCAGAGAGCCTCAACTGTTCTTCACTGAGCGGCTGGCGAGTTTGAACCGCCAACCTTGCCTAGTAGTCCAATGCTTGCTAGATAGTGCTACTGGGCCCGACAAGAGTTAGGTAGAAATTTCAAAGTTGAACTAGAGTGGAATTATGTAATATAGCATTCATAGTCTCTAGAAATGCTTTATTTTTTATGTAAGTCAGTCATTTCATTAATATGAAATTCGTATGATTCAATTTAGCTCTTAGATTAATTTCTTTTTGTTAATTTGAAATGTTTGTTACTTGGGGGTAACATTGAGCTGATTTGTTGAGTTTGTTACCACAGAAGTTACTAAGTAGCATTCTATAGTTTAAGCTTTTTATTCCATTTAAACTACCTTTTAATTTCATTTGTATAATGAAATGTTCCTAAATAATTGCTTCATTTTGTAGCCTTATAGAATGGTCTAACTTTAAAATTTACTATGATTTTATGATAGTAGATCTAATACTGACAAAACAGAAATGGGTATCATGGAAAATGTAAACTCTCATTTTTTTAGAGCTTGCTTTTTAAGAGCCTTCAAGATGAAATGTGTGTGTGTGTTTATACCCCTAGGAGTAACATCTATCAAAAAGGATATGAGTGACATTAGTCAAGGCTATGAAGATCTGGGCCTCTTACTCAAGGACAAACTAGCGGAATTGAACACGAAGCTTTCCAAGCTACAGAAGGCTCAGGACGAGTCGGCTGCAATGATGCAATGGCTACAGAAAATGAACAAAACTGCGAAAACATGGCATCAGACACCTGCACCCTCAGATCGTGAGGTTGTGAAGTTGCAAGTCGAACAAAATAAGGTATTTTTTGTGGGTTTACTTACTAAGGATACGAGGACAGAACATTCAGAATGGAGAGCCCTGCTAGTCAGGAGCCCTCTCTCTGACTTCCAGTCCTGTATAACTTTCAGCAAATAAGTTTGCCAGTTTTCTTTTAATGTGTCTTTCAGTAGGGTGTGATGATAACAGGTATCCTATATGTGTACACAAACCTTATGAAGATGAGTGAATGTTTGGATGTAAGCAAATTTGTCACCTTTAAATCCACTAATAGTCCAAGACACTATTAATTAGTTAACCATTGCAAAAGGCTTTAGATTTTAGGGGATACGTTTATTATGAATCTGTTCTATCTAGTATAAAATAAGGTAGCCAATGCCACCCTCTCTTTAATGTTTTCCATTATAGCCAGGAAGATTGAGAAAATAGTTCTAAAAGGTAACAATGAGGGTGGACCCTTTTTACAGAGAACTAATGTATTTTGCACTCTATTCTCCATTGTCCCAAAAAAGTGCATATTCACTAGTAGATTCTCAACATTCTGGCAGCTTTCAGCAAGGCTGATTTTCTTACTAATCACAATCTTAAAGACTCATCTCTTTTTCCAGAGGGGTTTGATGATAGTATGAGATTATTGCTCAGTAATAAAGGTTAAACTCATCATCTCTGCGGCTACAGTGTTCCTTCTTTGTGGGATTCCTTCATCAGATGGTTGAACACAAGCCAAAAGGAACGTTAAATCATTAACTCTTAAACGCGGGGCCTCGTCCACTGCAGCATTTTACCGTGGGCTTTTTTCCCGTTCGGGTCATGCTGGAGAAAAACAGGCTCGGTCATAATTGTGCTTTTGTCTTTTGATGTCTACATACTTTAACGTAGTTACTGTAGTATTTATTTCTCCCTTGTTAGTCATTTGAGGCGGAACTGAAGCAAAATGTAAATAAAGTGCAAGAGTTGAAAGACAAATTGACAGAGCTGTTGGAGGAAAACCCAGAGACTCCTGAGGCCCCCAAATGGAAACAGATGTTGGCAGAAATAGGTACGTTGGGTTACTTGCATCAAAGACCAGGCAAACCAGTGCGATCCTTTCCCATTTTTATCATAATGTGTATCCAAAAATATTTTTCAAGAACCTCACATAATTTTGGATTTGTGTTAATGTTTCAGAATCTGTTTTTGGACATCCAACAGTGTTGTCTCAGATTATATTGTGCTGAGAATGTACATATCTTGTTTTTTTTTCTAGCTAAAATGAGCTAAGTTTATATTTATGAAGATGGCTGATAGCATAATAAAATGCGCATTCGATATTATTTTCCGATTCATTTACTTGTTACTAGCTTTTTGGTGCTTCTAAATCATTTACATGTTACTACATTTTAATTTAAGTGTTTCTTTTGTTTGTCTGAATGGATGACTCTTTTTTAAACCTTCATGGAATTAACTTCTGAGACTTCTGCAGCCTCCGACATTATGCTCTTAATCCCTCCGCTAACAAAGATTGTTTTAAAAGCTCTCCACAACACTCTGAGCGTTTTGATTCTTTTGCCAAAGTTTTCCTCCCAACCAGGCCTATCCCTAAATAAACTGTCCGTCATAGATACAGTGTCCTTCACAAGCCTTATGTTATCTCCGCCCCCCTCCTTTCTTTATTCTGATAATATGGAACATAATCATTAGTCCTACTTCACAGTATCTCACAAACAGGCACAAAATAAGAACTCTATAGTGTTTTTCTGCTTTTAGGGAGAAGAATTTGTAATTTTTTTTAGCCTTTCAATATTTGACTTTCCAATGCACCAATACACTGGTTCCATTGTATATGAAGGGACTTAAGAAAGCTCCTGGGGAAATTATTTTATTTTTCCATAAACTTTTTGAAATCCCTCATATATCAAATATTATGGTGTAGCGGGTTACACATTGGTCAGCAGTTCAACCCCACCAGCCGCTCCTCAGAAGAAGGATGAAGCTCTGCTCCTGTAGAAAGTCATTGCCTCAGAAGGTCACAGGGGCAGGTCTTCTCTGTCCTGTAGGGCCACCATGATTGGAAAATCAACTCAATGGCAGTGAGTTTTTATAGTCGATTTATAAATATTTTTCAAACTGTGTTTTAATTTGAAAAGGGTTACTTTAAGGGTTCATAATGTTCTCAAAGGCAGGTTTGATCAAACTCTCCAGACTCTTGTGACACTGAAATTAATTTGCTCTAATTCAGTGCCCTCACCTGCCAGCATGTGGAATAGCAGAACTACTTGGGGTGGGGGTGGGGTATAATCAGGACACAGTAGAATGGAGTGGATGGGGTAAAGAATGTGTGTTTTGAAAAACCTCCATGATTATTTTGATATTTCTTTCTCCCAGGATACTGCTTTAATTTCATGATCTTGTTTTCAGATCATATTTGAGTAGAACATACAATACAGAATATCATTAGATAAGATTTTAGGAATTGAGGTTTATTTATGTATGTATTTATTTATTTGAGGTCTATTTAAATCAGCCCTTCAGTACATTAGTCTTGGTGAAAACAGTAAGCAAGATAACTCTTTAGGACCACTAATGAACATTTATTGATCAAGTGATGTGTTCAAAGCCCTGGCAAAAGAGCTTGGTTTAGTCACCTCTGGCTTTAGGAAGCATCGTATTTTGAGGGCAGAGAAATCAGGAAAGACTTCTAAGAGATGGAAAGACCCATTGGGATTGTGAAGGAAGCAGAGTGGGATTGAGACATATGAGAGGCAAACTTGAACCCGGTGTGAATAAACACTTGTTTGGATGGCGATGTTAAACCATCTTAGGTCAATAGAAGAGGACTTTTGCGTGTCAAGCAAAAGTCTTATATTTGATTGTTAAATAGTTATTGAAAGATTTGATATGGGAAAATGGCCTATTAAAATGATTTTAGACCAAAACAGATTACAGCTGAGAAAGAGTACTGGCTGGGAGACCAATCAGAAAGCCAGAAATCCTCAAAATGTACTCTGGGAACAGCAGCATCAGCATCACCTCACCCGGGAACTTGTGCGAGATGTATAATGCTGGGGCCAGAGCTCAGAGATTTATTGTATTATTATTTTTAAATAAACTCTACTGTTGATTCTAATGTAGTTTGAGTTTGAGAACCGCTGGCATATGCAGACAATGATGAAGGCCCGAGTGGAATCATAGCATTGGTTTAAGGCTCTATGATCAAGGATGTAAGAGCACCGAGAACGTTATCAAAGGCCATTCAGAATTGTTGCATCTTGGTGACATGGTGGAGATGGAAACTGGTTGAGAGAACAATTTGAAAGCCAGAAAAAGACCCTTGTTTAAAGAGGAATATCATGGGTTTTGTCTTATAATGTGGAGTTTAAAAATTTGGTGCAGTGCCCAACTTTGCAGCAGTTGCTTGTTGATGTGTGATCCCAAGAGGAGAAAGTGATAGAGGAGTAATTAAGTTAAATTTGGGAGTCATTTACCTAGAACTGATCATTAGAGATTTGATAGTAAAGGATTAATGGTCATTGTTCAAACAGGTCAGTTATTGCTGAGCAAAGACAAAGGACGTCTAGAAAGGATGAAGGGAACGGTGATCTGAAGATGCTGTTTGCTTTAAGGAATATTCCATTTTCTGTAGGATCTTTAAAACCATATCCCAATTTATTTTTCTCTTCTTGTACTTCAGTCATAACCACTTGGGCCACAAAATCTGTAAATGCAGTTATCTTAGGCCTTTGGTCAGCCATTAGAAGAGCTAGAAAGATGAAGGGATGGTCATTACATACAATCTCATCAAATGCATCAAAACCAAACACCAATTTCTTCGTTGACCTTTTTTTTCAGATTCTAAATGGCAAGAACTCAATCAATTAACAGTTGATAGGCAACAAAAGCTGGAAGAATCCTCCAATAATTTAACCCAATTCCAGACTGTAGAGGCCCAGTTAAAGCAGTGGCTGTTGGAAAAAGAACTGATGGTTAGTGTTCTCGGGCCCTTGTCAATTGACCCAAATATGCTAAGCACACAACGGCAACAAGTAGAGGTGAGTGTGACCTCATTACCCATTTTGTATGCAATCACTTTTCTTCATAGGACCAACACTTTCTTAGCAGTAGCATCCACTTTGGGAAGTCTAGACTTTAAGAGCCTCGGGCGGATGCATCCATAATGTCTCCTAGGCTCCCAAGAAAGGGAAGGATTGGTGGGAAACCCCCAGAGGACAAAGGCGATGAGGCACACATTCTGAAGTACTGTATTTGACCCCTGGAGCAGGTCACATTCCTAATAATTTCAGTCATATTACAATCTGTACAGACCCTGTTAAACCCAGGCCTCCTTTGAAGTATTAATGGGATTGTATAAGTAGCAATAACATTTTTATGGGAAGCCAGTGCATGCTGCTTTTGTTGTTTAGAAATTACTCCTTTGAGGTTTTATCTGTCTTGATCGTGGTGGTAGATAATGAAACTTTTAAAAGTCATGTGGGACAGCTCTGAGGGGGAGAAGACACCGAATGAGAAGGGGAGGAAGGAGTAAGCAGGGGAGACCACTTTGGACCCCCGTGGATTAGTTGAGCCAGCCTAATGATAGCGCAGATAAACCCACACCAAGGAAAACCTAGTCCATAAAACGTAAAGCAGACGTAATTCCAGCAGCTGCGTTGCGGGTTCAGTTCGGTTTCGTTATGGCTGGGCAGTGGCGTTTTGGAGTGGTGAGGCTGATTCTGCACGTTGCAAAACAGACCTTGCTCCTGATAGTTTGAGTTGCATGTCATCATTCCTATGAATCCTTCGTCTGAAGAGAATGGAGACACAAGATCAAGATAAATGTTGGGGGAGCGGGGGAGGAGGGAGGTTGCCATTACTCTTGGTGGACTCCAGAAATAAACCTGATCTGACTGCGAGAAGGAAATTTGCGGCAGTTTGTTTAATAATGAGACAGAGTCATGTGGAGCCTGTTTATTCTGAGCAATGTGATTTATTGGCTAAAATCTTTATAATAAAGACTATAAATGTCAATAAATCTTATGTTACAAAAACCAAAAACCTTTGTAAATCAATGTGCCATGAGTTAATGTATTCTAACACTATTGTCACTGTGCATTCTCTTTGAAATACAGCTGTGGGGTTTTTCAAAAACCTTACAAAGGGAAAACTAGTCAGAGGAGGGAAAAAAACCCAAGCAAATAAATTTGATGTTAGTGTGGCTTGAACTTGCCCAATGGTGCTGGTTCCCTGGGTAAATGATTTTTTTTCTCAGACTGCAAAAAAAAACTTATCATGTTCCTTTTCTCCATTAAAGGGGTTGCTTGAGACAAAATGTTAGCTTTACGACGCCCCATTGTTCATGAAATAAACACAAGGAAAGCAGTAACTGGAAAAAATAAAAACCACCTAAACAAGATCTCTACCATTTCTTTCTGCTCCGAAACGTAACACTGTGGCGCTGTTGCCATTGTTGTTTTTACAGTTTATTAACCAATCCTTTGTTTGTGTGTTTATTTGTGCTGCTACTTCAGATTCTACTGCAAGAATTTGATACCCGGAAGCCTCAATATGAACAGCTCACAGCAACTGGCCAGGGCATTCTGAGCCGACCTGGTGAACATGCCTCTTTGCATGGGATTGTGAAAGAGCAACTAGCCACTGTGACCCAAAAATGGGAGAGCCTAACCAGACAATTGAGTGACAGATGTGACTGGATCGACCAAGCCATTGTTAAAAGCACACAGTACCAGAGCCTGCTGAGAAGCCTTTCCAATAAACTGAGCGACTTAGACAGTAAACTCAGCACTTGCCTGGCTGTGAGCACACATCCCGATGCCATGAACCAACAGCTGGAAGCAGCCCAAAAAATGAAGCAGGAAGTAGAGCAGGAGGGGAAGCAGCTAAAGGTGGCCCAGGCCCTCTGTGAGGATTTGTCAGCCCTGGTTAAAGAAGAATACTTGAAAGCAGAACTTAGTAGGCAACTAGAAGGTGTCTTAAAACCATTTAAGGATATTGAACAAAAAGCAGGTTTGTGTCTCTTTTCAAGTAGGTTTATCACCTGGTCAGAAATACACAATGTGCAGATACTGGGTATTGCCTGTGTTGTTCAAGTGATGATGCATGCCCTCAGCTGCCAGCAGAAGTGCTGCATGTTGGGCTGGCTTCCTGCTCCTGCAAAGGCAGCCATTGCAAACCCCGCGGAGCACAATTCTACCCAGCACACACGGGGTTTCTCTGAGTCAAGGATGGCAACTGGTTAAGGAGACTGTCCCATTGAAAGCACGGACGCAGAGGAGACTTGACCACACACGAGTATGGAGCAGTTCTGTGTGCTTCTGAGCACACAGTATTAGGCACATTTTATACTGACAATGGAGAAGACAGCCAATTTGCAAAAGTCCACTTATGAGAGCCTATTAAAACTTCAAGATTGGGCTTTGGAAAATATGGTTGTAAACCATTTTCACTGTGTGAACACAATCATGTTTCACTAGGGGAACAGTTATTTAAAAAGGCTTTGGGATGGTTTTCTTAATGCTGATACTTTGGATGATTTTCTACCTTAGAAGACTTTGGTAGAGAAATGCATCAAAAGGACGCGTCTGGTACTGTTGTCTTTCTGACCCACAGTACTGACATTTGTCTGAGGCAGTAGCCAAACCAAACCCAACTGCTGCCAACGAGTTAACTCTGGCGCATGGCGACCCCTATGTAGAGCTTCTGAGGGTGTCAGTCTTCACAGGAGCAGAAGACCTTGCCTTTTCCCTCAGAACCATGGTGGGTTTGAACCACAGACCTGGCAGTTAGCACTCTAATGCTTACACAGCAGCACTGCCAGGCGGTGGGGTACTGGACTTCCTTCAAAGGCATGCAAACACAGAGCATGCTTCGCTGCCGTGTCTGTGATTTGAAAATCAACACTGTGCCTGCCTTGGATATAGTAAAGATTAGGTCATACTAACCATTTCAGCCATCCTCCTTTGTTGGCATTAGGAGCCCTGGTGGGGTGGAGGCAAAGTCGTCGGCTGCTAACTTCAGGTTGGCAGTTTGCGTTCCTCCAGCCATTGGGCAGACAAAAGCCCTGGTGACCTGCTTCCATAAAGATGACAGCTCTGCTATCACCACGTGGGATCACTAGGAATCCAAAATGCACTCAGTGGTACCTAACCACAGCAACATGATTGTTGCTATCACTGCTGCGATCCACACTGTTTAGAGCCAAGCGTGAGGCTAGAGGACTTTTCCTGCGCTATCATTTAATTTCCACCACACTCTCCTGTTAGTATTTCCATGTGGGCAGTGGCATTGAGTGGCTTAATCATTTGCTCCGGGACTCAGAGCTCTTAAGAGGTTGGGCCAGCATCCCAATCTGTGCATTTTCTAAGTGTTACGTTCTTTTGTCTCCATGAAATTTGAAAGAGAAGTGAGAATGCAATCTTTGATAAGAAATGGCTTATTCATCAACACAGCCCAGAACCCTGGACAGAGGTCACTTCCCCATACTTGATCGGCGGTGACCCCAGCGTGGTAGATGTGTGTGGCATGACAGCTCTCTTCCACCGGCACCTTAAATGTGTTTTTTTACATACTCCCATGATCGCTTTTTGCCCCCTCTTCTCTTTCTCCTGCTTCTTCCCTGGAGTTTCCAGTTCTTACTCTTTCTGTGTCATGTTCCCATTTCCTCTTTTACGAGGCACTTCAGCTGACTTGTAGTTCTAAGCACTAGTAGAAGCCCCTGACTTTCCAATTCTGTACATTCCGAGTTTTTATCAATTGCATCAACATCATGTCAATATAAAATACATAAACATCTCTGTGCTTTCCTTTTTAGAGAATCATGTCCAACACCTTCAGGCAGCCTGTGCCAGCTCTCATCAGTTTCAGCAAATGTCTAAAGATTTCCAGGCGTGGCTGCATACAAAGAAAGAAGAGCACACGAAGTCTCACCCGATATCAGCCAAACTTGACACCCTGGAGTCATTGCTTCAGGATCAGAAAGACTTTAGTAAAGCTTTGACACTGCAGTCTGATGCCTACCAAAAAACCATCACCGAAGGTGGAAATCTGCTCTTAAAAACTCAAGGGTCTGAGAAGGCAGCCTTACAGTTACAGCTTAACACTATCAAAGCTGATTGGGATGGCTTTAACAAACAGGTGAAAGAAAGAGAGCACAAACTGAAAGATTGTTTGGAAAAAGCCCGCAAGTATAAAGAGTATGTGGAGGCGCTCAGTCCATGGGTAGAAACCTGCCAAAGGAACCTGGAGGAAATCAAGTGCTGCTGGGATCCCGCTGAAACAGAGAAGTCTATTGCCAAACTGAAGTCTCTACAGAAAGAAATGGACCAACACTTTGGGATGGTGGAATTATTAAACAACGCAGCCAACAGCTTGCTCAGTGCCTGTGAGGTAGATAAGGAGGCCATTGCAGATGACAATAAATCACTGATGCAGAAGGTAGACATGGTGACTGAGCAACTTCACAGCAAGAAGCTATCTCTGGAGAACATGGCCCAGAAGTTCAAAGAATTTCAAGACCTCTCCAGAGAAGCCAAAAGGCAACTTCAGTGTGCAAAGGAACAGCTGGATGTCCATGATTCCCTGGGACCTCAGGCTTGCAGCAACAAATACTTAACTCTGCTACAGACTCAGCAAAAATCACTGCAGACCGTGAAGCAGCAGGTAGATTTGGCCAAAAGGCTTGCACAGGACCTTGTGGCCGGAGTCCCAGACTCAAAAGGCACCTCGGATATCTTATTACAAGCAGAATCTTTAGATCAAGAACACAGCGCCCTAAGCCAGCAAGTGCATGAAAAGTGTTCCTTCTTAGAAACCAAGCTGCAGGGCATTGGGCATTTCCAGAATACCATCCGAGAAATGTTTTCCCAGTTTGCAGAGTGTGATGATGAACTAGATAGTATGGCTCCCGTGGGGAGAGATGCAGAAACATTGCAAGAGCAAAAAGAGACCATCAAGGCCTTTTTGAAGAAACTGGAAGCCCTCATAGCAAGCAATGCCAACGCCAATAAAACCTGCAAGATGATGCTGACCACAGAGGAAGCCTCTCCCGACCTTGTTGGAATCAAAAGGGACTTGGAGGCTCTGAGCAAACAATGCAACAAGTTACTAGACCGAGCTCAAGCCAGAGAGGAGCAAGTCGAAGGGACCATCAAGCGTCTTGAAGAATTCTACAGCAAATTGAAAGAATTTTCTACTCTGCTTCAGAAAGCCGAAGAGCGCGAAGAATCACAAGGGTCCGTTGGCATGGAAACTGAGACAATTAACCAACAGCTCAATGTCTTCAAGGTAGGGAATTCTTCACATTTACTGATTATTATTATTATTATTATTAGAGTGCATTTCTAGTTGTGTCTAGAAGGGTCTAGAAGGTCCTGGTGTAGGACCTTCCCCTATGGCTGCTACACAGTATTCCACCCTGAGTAAGCATTCCTAGAGGACCTTGGGGTGGCATGGTGGTCAGCACTAGGCTGCTCAGCCGGAAGGCAGGTGGCTCAGACTCACCTGCCTCTCCCTGGGCGAAAGTTGTGGCAGTCAGCTTTTGTGAAGATTTAAAACTACTATGGGGCGGTTCTGTTTTGCCCTGCAGGTTCACTGTGAATCGGAATTGACTCACAACAATGGAGCACAATGGGAAAGCATGTATGAGGGCAATGCCAGGTGATGGGGTCAGTCTCAAGCTCTCTGGGGATTTGAGCCCTCGTGGAATAAGGTCTGAGATAACAATAAGAGGTCAAATGGGATGCTTTTAAAAGGTCTGGGCAGGCCTAAAACTGGCATCAAAGACTCTTGTTTCAGTGTCATCCAGAACTAATTTGTGGAACAACTGGAGCCATCTTTTGAACTCTGCTGCCGAGGCCAGTCCATAATCGCAGGAGATTACTCTCTTGGTGCTTGGCTCTCGGCAATGCCTTTAATGGTGACATTCAGCCCTTTCCTACTGCTGCCCACTTTGTAGTCTTCTCATCCTCCTTGGTTTAATTTCTTCTGGAAGCTTCTTTCCCCCAAAGTTCCTATTTTTAAAGGGATAGTGGAGCTCCACGCTATATTCCTGGCTTTATAAAACAAAGACCTTGGACTCATGCCCCAGAGGATTAGGAATACATTATTTCTAGTTGGGCTGTGTGCTCTCACTGCAAGGAATTATCTGCCACTTGACCATGCCCAGTGCATGCTTAATGAATAGAGCATTAGATTAGAAATGGTGGGCCAGCGGCAGTGTCATTGGATTTGGCTTCATCGGAGAGAGGGATACCAGCAGTCCTGTCTCCGAATGCATGGTCCTCTCAGTGGACAGGGAGTGTCCCAAATAGTGAACATTTGCCACACAGGAGTTATACGAAGCATTGTGGTCGTCGTGGATCCTTTTCTATGTGTTTTTTACTTTTGGGTCAAGACTGGTGAAGTTTGCAGTTGCACCATTGGCACATGGAGGATACAATAAGATCAAGTAAAATGATTCATAAGACTATCCCTTATTTCTGATGCAATTAAATATAAATCATATGACTTCCAAATTCTGTGCTGTTATACTTGACATGATGTTTGCGGGGTTTTTCGTTTAAGTGTTATTTATTTAGGCAACTGAATGTTGAGAAAGAGCAACTTCTACTCCTCCTCCCCGCCCCTCCTTCTTCTCCTTCTCCTCCTCCTCTCCGTGGCTAGGTGGCCATTTGTTGTTTGTCAAGTTTCTTTGGAGTCTGGGTAGAGCCTGTAAGAATCCATGATTCTGCTTTTAGATCTTGTTTCTTGAAGGCAAAAGAAATGAATTACCATACGGCTCACTCAAGTCTTTTCCTTACTCGGTCAGACTTTCATCTTTCTGATTTGAAAAAATACAAAGATTTTCACACGAGCAAATTTTCTAGTAGAAAAAGCAGAGGTCTCCAAAGCTAGGGCAGAAGTTGAGCTTCCTCAGACAGAACGTTTCAGAATTTTTTATAGCACCTTCAGACAACTTTAAAGCAGCCACTTTATTGGGCCTTTCACGGATAAAATTTAATTCTGTTCAGTGCCTTTGTGAAACATTATCATTTTTTAGGTTTTCTGTGGACTTGGGTAGACAGAAAAGTATGTCTTCCTTTCTCTTGATCACTTCCACCACTTTTAAGGAAAAGGACCAAAACAATATTATTGATACTGAGCCCCCATCCCAACTCCCATCCCTGTGGTTCCAGCCAGCATACAGTGAAGAATGTGGACCCCAATGTGGAGAATTATTTTGGAAAAAAGGAAAAGCAAGAGGGAGTTGCTGCTGAAGCACCATTGCTTTGAAAGTTTTGCAAACTGCCAAGTACTACATAAACATTTATTACCATTAGGAGTTAACAGGAATTGTATTATTTGATTGTGCAGAAAAATAAAGTGGTCACTCCTCCTAAAAATAGGCCACTTAGCCTACTGTTTGCCTGTTTTCTGATTGCTTTGAAAGAAGTTGAATGATTTTAAAGAAATCCAGTACCTTATAAAGAACTTCATTTCATATTTTCATTGTCTCAGAACCCAGTTTTATGCATTCCATTTTGTTCCTCCTTCCCTCACCCCCCCAAAAAAATATTCGTAAGGAAGTGCCCTCTGTCCTGGTGGATATAATCCTGTTTGGAAATAATGTTCTTCTGTTGTGATAGTGGGGCATACATGGATAGTGTGGGTCCTTAACCTAATCACCTCTGAGTTATAAAAAGAGCAGAATAGATTCAGATACACACAAGGGAAGAGATGCTATGTGAGGAGCCATCTACCAGCAAAGGAATTCCAAGGATTTCCAGCAGACACCAGAAACTAGGAGAGAGGACCACAGAAGGAGTTAATGTGACCGAACTCCTGATTTGCACTTGAGCCTCTAAACTGTGAGAAAATAATAAGTCTGTTTTTTAAAGATACCTGTTTGTGGTTCTCTTGTTAGGTAGCACTGGGCAATGTAGACAGTCGATGACTAAAACCGAGTTTTTAAGGGGACACGTCACCTGTATTTGATAGCTATATTTCAGTGCCATAGGTAAAAAATATTATTGTAAATTATTGATTATTGTAAATAGAGATGATAGCTTATACCATCACTAATTCCATTTATTTGTGTGTGGATGGGGCAGGGAGGGTAAAGTAATAGACTTAGCAGTTGACCTTTGTTTTGAGCTTACTACATGTAAAGCTCTCTACTTTTAATCCTCTTAACTGTGTATGAGAGATTGATGCTATTATTAACTCTGTCTTGAGGAAGAAATATACCCAAGAAGGGTAAGTGACTTGCCCAAGGTCACACAGGTAATTAGTGTCAGAGCTTGTATGTTTTGATGAAAACAGTGCACTGTTTTTGTGTCAACTCTATGCATCATGGTTCACATCTAATATTTTCTTTGGGAAAATATTAAGTCATCGTTATGGAGCCTAATTTGGGACCCCTAAATAACAGGTTTGAAACCACCAACTGCTCTGAGAGAGAAAGATGAGCCTTTCTACTCCCATAGAGAGTTACAGTCTCAGAAACTCACATGGGCAGTTCCACACCTGTGGAGCACTGGTGGTGTAGTGGTTAAGAGTTGGGCTGCGAGAAGTATGGTCGGTAGTTCGAAACCACTATCAGCTCCTTGGGAGAAAAACAGGACTTTCTACTCCTGTAAATAAACAGTTACAGTCTCAGAAATCCACGGGGATTCACTATGAGTCAATGCTTGATAGCGGTCAGAGTCACATTCCCGATAAATCTATACGCTTCTCTACCCTTCCCAGGGTAGACTGCACCTGTGAGTTTTAGAGACTGCAACTGTTTGGGGAAGTAGAAAACTTGTGCTCTCTCTCTCCTCTCTTCTCTTTTGCTCTCGCTCTCTTTCAAGGAGCAACTGGTGGTTTTGAACGGCTGACCTTGCAGGTGGCAGGACAAAACCCATAACTCCTATTCCAGCAGGGCTCCTCCACCCCTGCCGAGACTTTGTTTATAAAGGCTTGTCTCTGAAGCTACATTCTGATTATTTCTAGTCATTGTAGTTAATTTAACCCCCACAAATGAAAAACTTTCTAGGTAAGAATCTTTCCAACCTGAGGATTTTTTTTCTTTCAAAATAGAAAAAGCTTTACATTGAACAGAGAATTTTCAAGCCACGTTGAAACCAGAGACAAAGACCAGAACACATGCCTAATTACACTGCAGTACATTTTCTGTGGTCCAAGCGAAGACATTGTTTAACCTCCATCACCAACCTATTGCCATCTAGTTCATCCTGACCCGTAGCAACTTGAGAGGACAGAGTGTAACTGCCCCTCTGGGTTTCCAAGGCTTTTAAATCTTCACGGGAGCTGACAGCCCCCTCTCCTGCTTTGCTTCACTCAACTCATCAGTTATCATTTGAATACTGGATAAAAAGGCCAAGAAGTATATATAGGGCTAGGAAACGTGGGCAGTTTGAGCACTACTTGTAGTTATTATTGCTGAAATAAATAGCTTTCCAAATTTCTCTGTGAAGATATTTTTTAATTAACATAAAAAGCAACATTTAAAGACAAACCATCAAACACATGCTTTATAGCGGTTTTAAATGTGAACATTTTGATATACCAAAGTTTCATCGAGAACAGGGATGCTAGATAAAGCAATCACAGAAGATAATTCTGGTGTGGAATAATTTTTTTAATTGTCCAGATTTTTGTTACCAAGACTGTATTTTTCGTGAGGGGTGTGTGACCCTTTCCCTGGTATTATTAAAGATGAAACACAATTTCACTTTCGAAATCAAGCTGCATGGGCTTTATACAACAGCCATATGATTTGACTAATCATATCAAAGCAGCATTTATAATTTTGGGAGGAAACAGTGCCCACATGCGGGGCACGGGAGAAACACTGCAGAAGCAGAGAGCATGCCAAATCAGTCAAGAATTAGAGCTGATCTGACTAGTCCTGTGCCCACCTGCTCTTCTCACCCACACATGTTTCAGACTAGGCGTAACAGATGGATGTGCCCTACCTACATTACACAGAGTTTACACCCCACTGCTCTAAAGGAGCCCCATGGCACAGTGGGTTAAACATGGTCAGCAGTTAGAGCCCACCAGGCGTCTGGCAGGAGCAAGATGAAATCTTTGTTCTCTGCCCTGTCGGAGCTCCATGAGTCAGGGTGGACTCAGTGTCATGATGGGCCCTGCTGATTAGTGCTCTGACCCTTCATGTCACACAACCTCTCTTCATGCCATACTGAGGAATTAAAAAGTAACTTGTTCTGGGGTCATTTTATTTTGGTTGTTGTTATTCAGGTTGTCAGTCAGTCAGTAAACAGCATCTGGATGACCACTGT